GTGATAATAATTCACAAACCTTTTTAACATTGTTACAGAACACATCTTACATGAGATTAACAGGATATGAATGAAAGATGGGGTGAAATGCTGGATACATCACCATTAACACCTCAATTGCGATGACACCATTCTGATTGGACGAAAGCGGGGGAGCTAGGAGCATTCTAATCAAGGTGAAATGAAACGGCACACAGCGGGTTGCAGCTACCAAAAAGTCGAGAATATTGACAACTGAAAACTGGAAAATAGAGGGAGAAATCGTGGAGTCCGTGGCAGACTTTGTATTTCTAGGTGCAAAGATTACTGCAGATGCAGACTGTGGCCAGGAAATCAGAAGACGCTTCTTTGGGAGGAGAGCAATGTCCAGTCTCGATAAAATAGTAAAGAGTAGAGACATCAGACTGGCAACAAAGATCCGCCTAGTCAAAGCCATGGTATTCCCTGTAGTCACCTACGGATGTGAGAGCTGGACCTTAGGGAAGGCTGAGCGAAGGAAGATCGATGCTTTTGAGCGGTGGTGTTGGAGGAAAGTTCTGAGAGTGCCTTGGACTGCAAGAAGATCCAACCAGTCCATCCTCTAGGAAATAAAGCCCGACTGCTCACTGGAGGGAAAGATACTAGAGACAAAGTTGAAGTACTTTGGCCACATCATGAGGAGAGAGGAAAGCCTAGAGAAGACAATGATGCTGGGGAAAGTGGAAGGCAAAAGGAAGAGGGGCCGACCAAGGGCAAGATGGATGGATGGCATCCTTGAAGTGACTGGTTTGACTCTGAAGGAGCTGGGTTTGGTGATGGCCGACAGGGAGCTCTGGCTTGGGCTGGTCCATGAGGTCGAAGAGTCGGAGACGACTGAACGAATGAACAACAACAACAACTTTAATCAATTATTTAATTATTATCCTCACTATTTAATTATTGTCATTATTATATTTTTTGGGTCTTTGCTCAAATACTCAATATTTTCTTTTCCTACCTCTGAAAAAAGTTCAAAAAAGTAATTGCATATCACTAGAAGTTACTTTTTTTCACTCCCCAGTGTTGCAATAGAATGGGATCATTTTGTGTCAAGGTAAGTAAGTGTTCAGGGCCCTATGAGGTGGGCATGGATTATTCTCCACCAATCAGCTTCCTGCTTTGGAAAAGAAGATGACTCCGCCCAGTTGTTGCTGGGTAGAAAAGGGGGGCTCACAAGGTCTCCTCTAGGACCAGCACTCAGAAGATGACAGGTGAGTGCATCATACTGGTTTGTTCTGGCTTGCATTTTCTATATCTTTTCTCCTTCTTTCTTTCCTTCTTTTCCTCCCTTTTTCCTCTCTTCCCTCCTTTCTTTTTCCTTCCTTCCCTTCTCCCTTTCTTCCTTCCCTCCTTTCATTTCTTTCCTCTCTGTTCCCTTCTTTCCTTTCTTCCCTCTTTCCTCCCTTTCTTCCTTTTTTTCCACTTGTCTTTTTTTCTTTCCTCCCTCTTTCCCACCTTCCTTCCTTCCCTACTTTTTTCTTTCCTCCCTCTTTTCTCCCTTTCATTTTCCCTCCTTCTTTTCCTTTCCTCTCCTTCCTAACTATCTTCCTTCCCTCATTTCATTTCTTTCCTCTCACTTTCCTCCCTTTCTTCCTTCCTTTCTTCATTTCTTTCCTTCCCCTTGCCTCCTTTTCTTCCTTCCTTCTTTCCTCCTTACTTTATTGCTTTCCTCCCTCTTTCCTCCCTTCCTTCCTTTTTTCTTTCTTCCCTTTCTTCCTTTCCTACCTTTTTCCTTCTTCCCTCCTTTCTTTTTCTTTCGTCCATCTTTCCTTCCTTCCTCCCTTTTTTCTTTGCTCCATTCCTTCCTTCCCACTTCCTCCCTCTCTCCCTTTCTTTTTTCTTTCCTTCATGTTTCCATCCTTCCCTCCATTTTTCCTCTCTTTCTTCCTTCTTTCCCCTTCCTTTATTTCTTTCCTCCCTCCCTCTTTCCTTTTGACTCTCTTCCCTTTCTTCCTTTCCTCCCTCTTTCATATCTTTTCCCTTCCTTCCTTCCTTCTTTCCTTTCTTTTTTCTTTCCTTCTTCTTTCCTTTCTTCCTTTTTTCTTTCTTAACTCCTTTCCTCCCTCTTCCTCCCTCCTTTTTTCTTCCCTCCTTCTTTCCTACCTTCCCTTCTTTCCACCCTCTTCCTCCCTCCCTTCCCTCCTTTTTTTCCATTCCTCTTTCTTTCCTACTTTCCTTTTGTTCCTCTTCCTCCCTCCCTTCCACCCTTTTCTTTTTCTTTCCTCCATGTTTCCTTCCCTCCCTTCCTTCCATCTCTCCTTTTTCTTTCCTCCCCCTTTCCTTTCTTCCCTTTTCCCCTCCTTCCCTCCTTTCTTCTTTCCTCCCTCGTTCCTTCCTTCCCTCCTTTTTCTTTCTTCCCTTCCTTCCTTCCTTCCTTCCTTCCTTCCTTGTTTCCTTCCTTCCTTTTTCCTTTCCCCTTTCCTTCCCTCCTTCTTTCCTCTTCCCTTCTTCCTCCCTCTTTTCTCCCTTCCTTCCTTCCTTCCTTCTTTCCCCCTCCTTCCCTTCCTTCCTTTTCCTCCCTTCCTTCCTTCCTTTTTTCTTCTTCCTTCTTCCTTCTTTCTTTCCTTTTCCCCCTTTCTTCCCTCCTTCTTTCCTCTCTTCCTTCTTTCCTCCTTCTTTCTCCTTCCTTCCTTCCTTCCTTCCTTCCTTCCTTCACTTTTTTCCCCTTTCCTTCCTTCCTTTTTTCTTTCCTCCTTTCCCTTCTTTCCTCCCTCTTTGCTCCCTTCCTTTCTTCCCTCCCTCCCTTCCTTTTCTTCCTCCTCCTCCTTCCTTCCTTCCTTCCTCCCTCTTCCTCTCCGAATGACCCTCCTTCCGCTTCCTTCCTAGGCCTGAGGCTGCCCCTGCTTGCCCTTTTGGGGCTCCTGGGGGCCCTGGGGGCCGAGTCCCACCGCCAGTCCCGAAGCCCCCTTGCCCAGGGTAAGGCTCCCCTTCCCTTCCCTTGCTTTGGATGCAGGGATCTCAAATGGGTCAGGATTCGAACTCCGGACCCTCAAGCCGGCTGCTGTCTTTCTAGCCCTCTCCAAGGAGCTGGGGACCCCGCATCTTCTGAAGAGCGTGGAGGAAGCCATGCAGATGGTCGACCGGGCCTACCAACGCACCCAGGAGTGGTATGCAATGCATCTCTCTGGGAGATCTAGTTCTCACCGAGCCATGAGCATCCCTCTCTGAGCCTTTTCCAACTGGCCGACCTTGCAGGGTCGTCCTAAGGCCCAAACAGTAGAAGGGATACAAGGGAGAGAAGAAGGAGTGCAGTCCCTATGCAGAATAGGATGCTACGGTGTCCTGGGAGTTGTAGTTTGCTCTTCATTCGTAGATTCAGTGCTGTGGAGTCTTGGGAGTTATAGTTTGCCCTTCACCCTGTGGTGCCATTTCAGTGAGATCTAGCGTAGCAAGAGAAGTCCAAAATATGAAAGCCCTAGGATTGTCATTGGCTTCATCCAATGGAGTCTTGGGAGTTGTAGTTTGCCTTTCATCCAATAGTCCCATTTCAATATAGAGTAGCAAGAGAAGTCCGAACTATAGAAATGCTGGGATTGTCGTTAGCTCTATGCAATGGAGTCCTGGGAGTTGTAGTTTGGCAAGGCCCTCTTGGGAGATCTAGTGTAGCGAAAGAAGTATGAAAAGCCCTGGGATTGTCTTTGGTTCAGTGCTATGGAGTCCTGGGAGTTATAGTTTGGCAAGGCCCTCTTGGGAGATCTAGCATAGCAAAATAAGTATGAAAAGCCCTAGGATTGTCTTTGGTTCAGTGCTATGGAGTCCTGGGAGTTATAGTTTGCCTTTCATTCAATGGTCTCATGTCAATGAGTTTCAATATAGCAAGAGAAGTCCAAAGTATGGAAACTCTGGGATCGTGGTTGGCCCCAAGCTATGGAGTCTTGGAAGTTGTAGTTTGCCTTTCGCCCTATAGTCCCATTTCAATGGGCTCTAGAGTAACAAGAGAAGTCCAAACTATGGAAATGCTGTCGTTGGCTCAAAACTACAGAGTGCTGGGAGTTGTAGTTGGCAAGGCCCTCTTGGGAGATCTAGTGCAGAAGAGAAGTATGAAAAGCCCTGGGATTGTCTTTGGTTCTAGTGCTATGGAGTGTTGGGAGTTGTAGTTTGCCCTTCACCCAATAGTCCCATTTCAGTGAGATGTAGCATAGCAAGAGAAATCCAAAGTATGAAAGCCCTGAGATTGTCATTGACTCCATCTTATTGTGTCTTGGGAGTTATAGTTTGCCCTTCACCCCATGGTCCCATTTCAGTGAGATCTAGCGTAGCAAGAGAAGTCCGATGTATGAAGGCCCTGGGATTGTCTTTGCTCCAATGCTATGGAGTGCTGGGAGTTGTAGTTTGCCTTTCACCCAATAGTTTCATTTCAATAAGTTGTAGCATAGCAAAAGAAGGCCAAAGAATGAAAGTCCAGGGATTGTCCTTTTCTGGAGTGTTGGGAGTTGTAGTTTGCCCTTCACCCAGTCGTCCCATTTCAATGAGATGCAGCATAGCAAGAGAAGTCCAAAATATGAAAGTCCAGGGATTGTCATTGGTTCATTGCTCTGGAGTGTTGGGAGTTGTAGTTTGCCCTTCACCCAATGGTCCCATTTCAGTGAGATGTAGCGTAGCAAAAGAAGTCCAAAATATGAAAGTCCAGGGATTGTCATTGGTTCATTGCTCTGGAGTGTTGGGAGTTGTAGTTTGCCCTTCACCCAATGGTCCCATTTCAGTGAGATGTAGAGTAGCAAGAGAAGTCCGAAGTATGAAAGTCCAGGGATTGTCATTGGTTCATTGCTCTGGAGTGTTGGGAGTTGTAGTTTGCCCTTAACTTCATGGTCGCATTTCAGTGAGTTGTAGCATAGCAAGAGAAGTCCAAAATATGAAAACCCTAGGATTGTTGTCGGTCCAATGCTACGTAGCTTTGGGAGTTATAGTTTGGCAAGGCCCTCATGGGCCGAGGAGACTCAAGACCTTGTCAAATTACAACTCCCAGGATTCCATACAGAGTA